ATATTTCCCTCATCTCAATGCAAGTCATTCCTGTAAATCACAATAGGTTCCCTCAAATAAGGCATGTAATTTGATACATTTCTTTTGTAAAGTAAAATTCTTCCACTACACAGAATGGGCCTGGAGGAAACATAACCAGCTTGAAATTCTAATTCCAGAGGAGCCAATAGTCTTAACTGAAAGCAATAGGTGATCCCTTGAAAGTGGAATGTATGTAAAAGGATAAGTGTTGACCTCTCTGAAACAATGGCTGCAGGGGGATATGTTTTAATAGTTTGAGTGTCTCTATGCAAAGGTGACTTTCTACATTTTTAAATGTTTTATATAAAGGTTTTTTTAATTAGCTGAAGGGTCAAATGTACTAAAAATGCATTGCTTCTGACAGAGTTCAGAAACCCTAAACAATGAGGCTACGTCTACATTGGCCCCTTTTCCGAAAGGGGCATGCTAATTTTATACTTCGTAATAGGGAAATCCGCGGGGGATTTAAATATCCCCCGCGGGATTTAAATAAAGATGTCCGCCGCTTTTTTCCAGTTTGTAGAAAAGCCGGAAAAGAGCGTCTAGACTGGCCCGATCCTCCGGAAAAAAGCCCTTTTCCAGAGGATCTCTTATTCCTATTTCAAAGTAATAATATTCTTCAAAGTGGGAATAAGAGATCCTCCGGAAAAGGGCTTTTTGCTCTTTTCGGGCTTTTCTACAAGCCGGAAAAAAGTGGCGGACATCTTTATTTAAATCCTGGGGGGGATATTTAAATCCCCTGCAGATTTCCCTATTACGAAGTACAAAATTAGCATGCCCCTTTCGGAAAAGGGGCCAATGTAGATGTAGCCTGAGTGTACAGTAAGTCAATTAGATAGTGATGTTGGTGTGAATCACATCAACTGCCAAAAACAAAGTAACGTGTACAATGTTTTTAAGGGTCTGGATATTAAAGGTACTTTTGTTATCTCTGTTGCCAGCACATGGCACCAGCAGTGTGCTTGTTGTAAAAAAAAGTATGTTTGCTGAATGTTTTCTGTTTTTGCCTATAGTCTCTTGGCCTATGTAGAAGAATGATGAATTGATTTACCTGGTTGAGACTGACCTTTCATCTCTGAATATGTAAAATTTAAACCTAAAAACAATGTACATAATTAAAAATATTCCCCCTCTTTTCTCATCATAGAGCTGAGATCAGTGGAAAGGACCTTTTATGACTTTTCACATCTTAATTTTAATAAGCCATGTAATGAAGCCTTATTCTTGAAATCTCCTACGTTTCTCCCACTTTTTCTTGAGAGGGTGCTTGCAAAGTGCTTCACAAGAATAAAGTTTTTTTTTTTTTTTTAAAGTAGCTGTACTGATGATAATATGTATGTCTTCTCTAGATGTGGATTTAAGGAATTTCTTTTTTTCAGTTTCATGGAAAAGTGTTTAAAATATATACCGCTAGGCAGCATGTGCCATCTGGCCGTGAAAACAGACTTTTTTTAAATTTCTCCAGTGTGTTTAATTTTCAGTCCTTCCAAAGGCACCAACAGCCTGTTTACACATTTAGGTGAATGTGCGCCTTCATCATTCATGTCTGCACAACGGCTGTACACCAAATACAAGTAACGTTAAAGTTTGGGTTGGTTTTTCTTCCATAGATTCCAAGGCCAAAAAGGATCATTCATCTAATCTGCCTTCCTGTAGAACAGAGACTATGGCACTTCCCCCAAATATTTCCCAGAGCTCATCTTTTTAGATGAAACCCACAATCTGGATTTTAAAATGGCTTTAAAGAAATAATGAGTGGCCTTTCCCACTGACTTTATTTCACATTAGACCTTGTTGGAAGATATGCATACTCCACTAAACTATCATTCCTAACAAGGCCTGCTGGTTGTGTAAGAGAGCTGGGAGAGGACAAATAACTTGTTTATAAAGCAAAATAGTGGTAATATAGAGGAGCTATTTGTATTCTTAAACCTGTACCTGACTTGTTGGACTGTTAAGCAAAGGGGGCCTTTCAATCTTTACCCTTGCTCCTGTGAGCAAATGACTTCTGCAGAAGTAGAGTTTGAAGAGATCATGATCTTTTTAACCCCTTATTTCTGTAAAGCGTTTTTATTCCATTCCTGTTGAATATAAAATGTCTGAATGTGTTTTCTTTGTTTTTTTGTTTTTATTTTGTTGCTTTGTTTTGGTTGGTTGTTTTTTTTTTTGTTTGTTTTTTTTTGCAAATAGCTGGCTCAAACACCACTTGCATCTAAAGGAAATGTATCTATTTGCAGGCAAATAATTATTTTTACTTCAACTGTGATGTACTACCAGCAAGTCTGTTTGAGAGTGAGTTATGGGTAAACCTCCTCTTGTCAGGTTGTATGCTGGTCAACAATGCTGGCACTTCAGAATCAATAGATACTGATTCATATGGTGGTATTTTATGATCCAGGATATTGTGTTAATTAAAAAAATGTGGAATAAAGCAAATAAAATGTTGCAGGAGTCAATAAACACTGGGTCATGTTTAATTCTGTGCTGAGCAAGTCTCTTCAGTCTCGTTTCTTATTGCGTAGGTATGAGATTTTGCATAGCTAAATGTATTATAGAGTTGAGAAACGTCATGACCTAAAACATTATAATCAGTACTTTTCCATAGATAATTGTAGTAGTCCTTTTGGGTACTGCACATTTCTGGAAAGTGTTCAGAGAAGAAATCCATTCTGTTTCCAACAGTTTGGCCTGTTTCCTTGGCCACTTCCTATTCTTCTGAGGTTAGTCACCTAGCTAACTTACACTCTTCTTGAAGCACTTATTTGTTTTCACATTCCTGTCAGGCCAGATATCAGCTGAGAATGTTAAGTTTTATTTTTAACAAAGTTCACATCCTTGCTCTGCTACTTTTTCTAATTGAGTTCCACAGTTTTCTCTTCCACAACTATGGGAGACTTTTCCACATTAGCACTAACATTTTGTATATTTAATAACAGAGGCATTTTCACTATGCAGTGCTGTAAACTCTCCCCTCCCCCATATTTTTATTGTGGGATTTTTTTTCCCTTAAGCAAAACAAGTCTGTACTGGAGGATTTAGTGCCCTTTTAAAGAGGAATTCTATAGAATTCACCCCTCCCACGTGAAGTGTTCTATATAGTCCACGTAAGAGGTCTGCTTCTGTACTGTTGAGGATTCCTTACTGTACACATGGAAGAGGATCCATTTTAAATTAGTGGGCCTATTCCTGTGACTATATGCTCTTTACTTGAACAAGGGGTTTAGAATCAGAGCTCAAGTGCCATGTCCATCTAAATGCCTAAAATTTAGTTGTAGCTAGGCTGATCCTACCATTTTGGAGAGACAAGATAGGTGAGGTAATATATTTTATTGGTCCAATTTCTGTTGATGAAAGAGACAAGCTTTTGAGCTTACACAGAACTCTCCTGCAGTTGTTAAGGTTGTGGCATTGTCTCCTGTTGTACACTGCCTGCATTCATCCAGTGCTGAGGCTAGTACAGCCCTGCTCTAAGTTAAAGGAGCTGCCCTGCAGCTCCCAGTGGCCTGATCCTTAGTTCATAAGTCATAGTGTTGACGACAATCCTTCTGTCCCAGACATGTCCCCTACAACTAGGGGCAATAAGGAGGGTGTGGCATGTTACCCCTCCTCTTGTATGAGGCAAGTTTTCATATTGTGAGCCTTGAGCCTCCCCCTAGGTCACCAGCATGGCATTTGGAATGCAGGGTGTGGAATTTGACCCAGAGGCCATCAAGGTGTCTTAGAACTGAATGTAGTGCTTATGGAAATGTAATTAAATCATGGCCGTCAAGGGGGGCTGGAGAGCCCTGGTTTCTGCCTCTTACCTGTCACATAACCCTGAGCAAATTGCATCACCTGTGCCTTAATTTTCCCAGATGTTAAATAAGGACAGTGGGATTTTTATTGATTGATTTATCTTCCTCCCTAAGCTCTGTGGCTGAAAATTGCCCTGCAGGAGCTAGGTATTATTTTTTTCACTTCAAGGCCTCATTTTCCTCTGCCTGAAAGCTTAGTATCTTTCTCAAACATCATATGCCCTCATAGAGTTTTAGCTCAGCTCTGGAACTAGACCTTAATTTACCCAGGAAGGCAAAAAATTCCAGAGAAAAGCTATCCTGTGAAGACAAATCCTTGCTAGCCAGGAGCATGCAATGAGGGACGCAGGATGGAGCTATGGCTATTTAATGCCGTAGGTGCCTAAAATCACTGAGCACCTATGTTTTTCTTCTGAGCATGGGCCAAGCAGCCTCATTATAGTCTCCTGTGTCCTGCCTGTAGGTGAACACTGTTGCCCCAGCCACTTTTCGTGCACCTGAAGCCATGCCAAATCATGAACCAGGAAAGCTATGTGTGTGGCTGCCTAAGCAGTGAGTCGGAGTCCAAGCCAGTATGCTCTGGTCTATAAAAGGGAATTATTTTTTAATAACCACTCCCTTATTTTGAAACAAGAAGCAGAGCATCCACACTACCAAGCCTGTTATTTCAAAATAACGGGCTGGTTATTTCAAAATCTGTACTTCTGCTTTCCTCAGGATGGAACACTTATTTCGAATTGTTATTTCGAAATAGCATTAGTGTGGATGCTCCAGCGCTGCTAATTCCAAATAATTGGCTTCCAGAGGCCTCTCACAGCTGCACTTGTGGCTGCTCTGGCCACACGTGCCAGCTCCATGGATCCCTTTCTTCTGTGGAATTTAAAACAGTAGGATGGAGCCATGGCAGACCCCACTGCTCCCTCAGAGCCTCCTACGGCTGCCAGCACTCCTGCAGCACCCTCGGTTGCCACTGGCCAGGGATGCAGGAGTGCTCTGGCCTGGCCTGGTGTGGAGATCCTGGACATCATTGAGGTCTGGGGTGAGAAGACCAACCTCCAGGATCTCGGCACCAGAAAGAGGAATGCAGACGTGGATCGCTGCAAGCCTGGCTGACAAAGGCCACACGACCAGGTCTGCATAAGACAAAAG